ATACTAGATAAAGAGATATTTATTTATCAATTTTAACAGAAAGTTAATCTAGAAGAAGTTTAGAATTTTTATCCTCACCATTAGTTTTTGGCATTAAAATTATCAAAAAAAAGTTACAAATTTTAATTAATATCTTTTTCTGGTTATTAAATAGTTGTTACAATTCTATGCTAATATTCTTCCAAGATAAACATCCTGAATGATAAGGAACTCTTCCACAACAATAGACAAACAATTAATAATTATATTTATAAGTACTAACATCATGAAATAATCATAAATAGAAAGTATTACATATCTTATAATACCAAATATAAATCTCAGTATAGCAATAAAATGGAATATCATCAAACAAAATAAACAAACCATTATTTCAACCATGACTACCATTATATTTAATATAGCTCTAAAATAATGGCAAAAATGAATATAATCTAATTCATTAAATTAATTCTCTCTTCCGTTTCAGAATCATGGAATAGTTACTTTATTAATGTTACAAAACCAGCCCACATTAGAGAAGTTCTAAAAACAAAGAACAATATAGTTGAAAAGAAAAGGATTAGAATAGGTTTTAAAATTAATGTACAAAATACTCCAACAAATAAAAATCGAAATATATTCACTTCGATTAAATTACAAAGTCTTGTGCATCTTTTACCAAACATACCCGAATCTTCAAAATTTTCAAATTCATCTCTTGCTTTATTCATACCTTTATAAACCAATTTTAAAGTTGAACAAATTGTTTAAATCAGTTCATCATCTCTAACTCCTCCAGTTTACTCATCTATTACTTAATCATTATAAAATGATTCTATTGAATATAATGCTTGTAATCTATAAGGTACCATTAATCCAAATTAGTAAAATATATAATAGCTATTTTCAATTAGTGTTAAATATAGTATACATAAACTACTAAATTTCACAAAAATAATATTTATATTTTACCTTATAATTTATTCCCTTAAAAAGGCAAATTTATTACCTTTTTAAACAATTGGATAAGGAGGAACTACTAAACGAACTCTTTTTTTAAGATTTAACTTTACCTAATTTCTATATGTCTTTTACTCTATCCTTAAAATGCTGATTTTCCATAAAATTCTAAATAAATATTTCTATCAGAAATATTCTTTTAGATTAATTCTTAAATCATTTATTGATTATGTTCTTTTTTAAATTCTTCTTTTTAATTTTTAAAGTCGCTTTTAAATTTTAACTCGATGATTTTTTTACATAAAAAGAAGAATTCTTTTCCAGATTATTCAATCGCATCGTTTTCGTAATTTGCTAATTCAGTCTAAACAATAAATAAATATTATACCTTCAAAGGTTCTTAATAGTATCTTTTTAATTTATAACATCTAAAATTTATCTAATTGCGGCTTATGGTAAATCTAGATTATTACTTTGAAAAAATCTCTATTAAGCAATATAAGACTTTTCACTTATGAGTTCTTCTATGTTTTATTTGGATCATAAATAATGCTGTATTTCTCCTAAAGATTAATAAATTCATAATTATTTTAATGATTCATATTTAAAAGTATAGCATTTAATTATGAGGCTATTTTCCAACATTCTTGTTCAAAATATTTTAATTGATTTTTAATAAAATCAACCTTCATTCTTAATCCATTAACTTTCTGGTGTCTAAAGAAAATAT